AAGAATAATTCTCAAATGTCATCCTCGTTTTTAGGAGTATGCAGTGTCATGACCTTCTTTTTCATCTATTTTAAAATTATTTTTAACCACTCATGCACCTTCCTGGAGAATTTTATAAGTTATCTGTCAAGCCCATATTATATACTAAGATAAATAATGAAAATATAAATCAGTAGTAAGTTAAAATGATTTCATTAATTTTATGTATGTATTTTATGTATGTATGCAAACAACATGCTTTTATAGGTTGTATTTTAATTGAAGCTGTTACTGATCATTGAAGCAGCATTGGTCTAAAATAAGTTACATGAAAATTTTTGTTTAATAATAAAATTCAATAAAACATATAAGATAGAGCGAAAGTCAAATAAATATACTATCCCATTGATCTTTTAAATGTTTAAATTTATTACCAGATTTCGAAGTCTAAGATATCTGTTTAGAACAATGATCTAACAAAGAGGAAAATATATACATAAATGCCGCCTTATGCACAGAAAACACAAAATAAAAGACTTTTGACTACAGATGATCTTATAACAACTGAATAATTCTGTAATATGAAAAACAGTAAGATATTTTATAAGCATATACTCATAATCCTGACTGAGGTGAAAGAATGGACAACCCTGTCATTCTAGGACTACTTTGGATTAAATCGAGTTTAAGACAGAATGGAATGCAGCAATCCCATGCACATCTGTAAACATATCCAGATACCCTTCGAACCATCCAAAATCCAGTACTGCATCCATTTCTGAGTCCATAAATCACTGGTCACGTTTTCTTGATACGATGCTCTAATAGAAGATAGTGTAACCTCTGTGCCAAATGAGATGTTTATGCCGAGTATTTTCAAATGTGTTTAATTTTTGAAGAAAAATAAAATTTTTATAATAATTCACGTTTGAAAAATTGGAGATATACTGATCCAGATAATGTACTACATCTAAAATAAATGTGTTCAGTAAGATAAGGGTTAAGTATACTTTTGTGCCTCATTTTTTTTCCTGGCAATTCTCCATGGTCAGGTAATCCGTTGCCAACTGGAACAATATTTTCACTGGTTCATGACTACATGACAAGGATTGTAAACTTCTTACAAGTTTACAGTGGGTTGACATGTGCTTACTGCTCTCATCTTATCTCACCTGACTTAGCTTTAATTCAACTAGTCCATTATAATACCCAATTTCTAGATGCTGACTTGAATGTCTGATAGAAAGTGATTGAAATATATAACAAGGGGAAACTGACCCACATATCAGTCAGCCTTAGAGATTGCTTAAGTTAAGGACTCTTAGTCTCAGGACTCCCTTGGTCCTTTTCTCATTTTGACTTTGCTTTGTAGCATCTGTGCTCACATCTCTGGTGTTGTCCCTGGAAAGGGCCTGCCTTTCTCCCCTCAGATCTAATGAAGAATGTGGGAAAGTGACTCTGACCTGCCTCATGTCCTATGACTTTAAAAAGAAGTTTCTCAAAATAAAAGTTTCTGATGAGAATAGCAGTTACCCAAAATAAGCAGGGTATTATCCTTTATGAAAAGTAGAGTGTTACACAGAGAAAACAATGAATGATATAGTGTCCACTTTAGTGCACAGGGTTGTTAAAGGCTGTTGCTCTGTTTAGCTCCCAGCTTGTGTACGGATGATATAATTATGATATGAGTGTAAATGGCAGATCTCAATTGAATGAATGGATGGATTCAAGGCCAAATCGAGTCTTTTTTTCCTCCTTTAGTTGTCTTTGCATAGAAAACACCAGAGTAGGGAAGAGAAAAACTCAAGTGGAGGGGATTTGCTAGGAAAAGGGTTAGCTATAGCTAAGTATGAGGAATTCTATGCATGATATCTCTGCTTATGTCTAAGATATGGTTGTATAAGGTATTCAAGAGATGATATAATGCAATATATTAGTCAGTCCAAGATATATTAAAGCAGAGACGAAAAAGTGATCATAATTGCATGCTTTCCAATTTGGTTTTTTCACTTGCACAAAAATTTTTATCACTACAAAAGAAATAGAACATTGTTGCTATTTTTTTCCTACTGCTAATTATATACTTGTTCTACATTAGAAGCACTATAAAATAGTATTTGAATCTCATTTTAGCTATGTTTTTGATCTGTTGTGTAAGCTCTCTAAGCTTCACTTGTAAACTTTATTTTAAAAAATATCTTACTCTGATGATCAAAAGAGTAATGCATTAAAATTGCTTAATACAGTGCTCGACACATGATGATGACTCAATGAAAGTAGTCATGTATAAACTATATTTTGTCGTTTTAGCTGATTTGTATTTTCAGTTTTTCTGGATAATTAAAATGCTGATAGCTGGTAGTTTACTTATACCATTGTTTTAATTTTATATCCATTACATTAATGAGTGCCCAAGAAAAAGTTTATAAAGGAATAAGGAAGAGATCTTGAGAGTTTAGTTAATCCATTTGTTGGCTTTTGGTAGACCAATGCCTAAATCAGGGCTTCTCAGTCTAGGCACTATTGACATCAGACATCATATAAAGTTTTATTTTGGGGAGCTGACCTGTGCAGTGTAAGATGTTTAGCAGTATTTCTGGCCTCTAGTAGACGTCAGCAGCAATCCCTCCGCCTGGCAGGTGTAACAACCAAAACTGTTTCCAGATGTTCTTTGGGGGATAAAAATCACTCCTAGCCGAGACCTTATGATTTAAGCCATTTAACATGGCCATGGTGATTGTATCATCTTGAAAACCTGTAACAGTAGCCTTTCCCAGTGTTTGCTGACCCCTGATTGTTGGGATCTTTTCTGTGGACAGCCCAGATCGCTCTTATACTGATATCATACTTTCTTCTTTGATCTTGTTATTAAGCAAATGGCTTTAACTTACTTTCGCTGACAAATGTCAACTTTGACCATTGAAATATTATTCTGTGGGCTTGCTTTTCACAATAACTGATAACTTAAGTGTTCTCAATATTCAAGTTCTTAATTAGGAATGCATTAATCATGTCTTTCTGTACAGTATTTGCATTTTTTGGTAATTATAGACTAATGAACATGCCCTTTATGTGATATTTTAGTTCACTTATACCTTTATAAATATTTCAGCTTTGTGATAATTAAGTAAATTGAACATTATTAATTAGAAATGCAATCAATGTAGTTAACTTTTTTAAATACTACTTTTAATATCCTAATATTCTTTGAATAATATTCTCCATGAAGATTTTTTTTTGTCAAAACCAATCTATAAGTAAATAAAATTAAATGGTTTTCTGATTATAGGGAGCTAAATTCATAAAATTATACATATAGATTACATTTGCTATACATTCGATTCTTTATGGAAACAGAAAAAAAGTGATAGATCACTCTGAAGAAAAATCGTTTCATTTATAAAGTAATTCTTTTGCAAAGCTTTAACTTTATCAAATCATGCAAATCTTAAAGATAGCTTTGAAAATTTTAATTTATAATTATGCTAAAGAAAATTAACTAAAAGGAAAAGTTTTGATGAACACAAGATCGGATTTTTATAGATTGTTCTCTTATAAATTATTTGCTTAATAACATTACAATTAATCATCAATATTTGAGCAGAAAATGATTCCCCTTTTAATAAACAACTCTTGTATTATTGCTCAAGTATTTTTTGAACTTTTATTTTCTCTGAATAAAAATATCATTACTAAAGTAAACTACATTTAAAATGTATGAGTATGACATGACACCTTTGAAAGGAGCTAACATTTGCAAATTTCAAAAGTCAATATTAGCTATAAACAATATTGACTTTTGGATTTATCTGTTCATATACCACTTATAATTGTTCCTGAGAATTTCTTAAATTATGCCATGAGTCAGAATTTTCTTATGACCAGATCCAGGGTTCTAAAGAATTAAGTTAAAAGAAGTTACAGGAAAGAATATTAATTTGAATTTAAAGTTTCAGAGTTTTTTGTAACTTATTTGGCTTTCATTAAAACACTCAAAATTTAACTGTTTATTTCTACTTTTGATTAGCTATTGGGACTTTTTAATTACATTTAAAATGCATCATGATTTTACATGATAAGACCTTTTTTATTATTTAAATATTAAAAAAAAAAATGATACCTTTGATACAGCTTATTCTTCCAAAAAAAGCCCACTAAGCCACCACAAACATATTTCAAGTGTAAAACTTTTTAATCACTTGTTGCAGAACTAGTTAAAAATTGTGCCTGTCCATTAGAGAGTTATTTGACAAGAAAAACAAATGTTGTACAGAAGAAGTGAGTAATCTGATTAGTCATTGGGTGTATTCATTTCTTGGTATCAGCTGAAGCTGAATTAAATTAGTCACTGGTGCATTTGTCAATTGGAGCCAGAAAGTCTGCTCTATTTAAATTTAAAATAGTTTGTACTGAGTAAATTATGGGGGTAGCCACTAAAGAAATCACATTACTTCAGAATTAGCAAGATCAATTTCTTTTAGGGTAAGAGATAATTATTGCCCCTTAAAAGACGGAGTAGGTTTATAATTTTTTTAGTCATGTCAAACATCCATTTATAAAATATTATGAATGAATTAAAAATACTCAGGCTTAAAATTCTAACAAAGAATAATGCTTACAAAGGAAATCAAACCTAAACTAAACTAAAAAAAAAAAAACTTTATGTGCCATGATTACTTGCCTTTAATTTTATTCGGCTTTTATAAACATTTACTGAACCTAGCTTATGGTTGTTATTGGTGTTTGATTCTTAAAACTCTGTAGATTAGATGTTATCCTAGTTATTCATGTGGGGAAATTGAGGCCAAGAACATTTAAGAAACTAGCCCAAGTGCCACATTTAAAAAGTAGTACTGTTAAAATTCGAATTCAGGTTTGATACTCTTTGTTCTAATCCATTTGTTTATCTTTTCCAATAGCGTATGCAATAGAATTACAAGTGTATTATAGTCACTTTCTTGACTTTCTACCATTACAAGTAAATGTGTTTGAATTATTATTTCTTTTCTCTTTTTATATAGTGCAAACTGGAATATCAGGCATGTGTCTTAGAAAAACAGATCTCCGTCAGATGTGAAGGACGTTGCCCGTGTCCTTCGGATAAGTCCACAAGTACAAGCAGAAATGTCAAGAGAGGTAAGTGGTGAAAACTTATTTACACTTTTACATTCTTTTGCTTTATTTAAGTGTTTCGCAGTAAATGTCATTATGTACACAATGAACCATTATATTGTATTGACTTCGTGAATATGAAAAAAAAGTACTTTTTTTTAGCCTCAAATATTAGAGCAAGTAATGTTTTACTATAGATCTTTTTTATCTTAATTGTAATAACTGCAATCTTTCGTACATGTTCACCATATACAACAACCTAAAGCAATGCCTTCTATGAATTACTGTGTCTAAAATGTTTTACATTTTTTTTTTCTTTTTTGGAGCAAGCAACTGATCAATGGTAATATAGTAAGTTATAAAGTAGTTTGGGTCAGAGTAGAACTGATCAGTCAGTAAATAAAAATGTCTATCCTGTGTAGAATGCGCGTATTTGTATGTGTGTATAAAATTGCCTATTAAATAATTTCATAAATCAAACTTTTTGATTAGATTTAGAGTTCTTAAATCTTTATTTTTATAGGTTTGATGCCTAATGAAATATGTTGACCCCAATATATGTTATAGTATATAATTTGACTTTTCGTAGATTATTTATCATGGTTTATATGGTATTACTTTTATATTTAAAGTATTGTTCGTGCCTTAAAAAAATCTCCATGGGTGCTAGTTTCAGTTCTTCATAACTATAGATAAAGAAAGAATCATAAGGAATAGATGTTTCATTAAGTCAGACTGTTTTATAGAACATTAACATCAACATTTATCATATATTTTATAATGATGTGAATCTTGTAATTTAACAATTATCATGGATCTTTAGTGCAAAAAATTTATTTTTGCCTTTTTTTCTGAAAAAATATAAATGATATATATGTAGATAAGAAAATACAAAGTTTATTTAATGTAAACTATGTATTTTCTTAAACATATTATATTTGATATTCTATATTACAGTCCCATGATGAATATTTTAGTACAGATAAAACTTTGAACTTCAGTTATGCCATTTATATTTGTCTTTACTCATTAAGTAATATCTGAAATAATTTAGAATTTAAAATGTGATAGCATCACTTTTAGTAAAGTAAATAATAGTTGATTTTACTGTTCAAAAGTAAATTCATTGATTTGCATACTAATAATGGTAAGCTAGTGTTCAAATATTAGTCAATGTACAGAATGACGCCAACTAGTAGGAGAAAGGTTCTAAGCTGTCTCCCAGGTGCCCTGTTCTTTAAGCCTCACCCTTGCTGCCTCGCCCCAGCCTAGAAACAGTTTCAGCGCTTAATTCCTTCTGGACTCTCCACCCCATATCCCAATTTACTCTCTCTAACATAGCTCAAATGAGGATATTCAGGCATGACTTTGAATGTATTAATCAACTCCTATATCATTAAGAGTAATTATAGTTTTCTTTTAATTGAAGTACTTTGATATCTCTTGCCTTCCTCATTCTTCTTCCTATTTACATAATTAAATATATTTTCCTCTGAAAATCGCTTTAGGTATGAAGCAAATCCTACCTTAGTGTTCGATATCCATTTTTTTTCATTGGAGGCTATTAAAAACACCTAATATATCATAGCCCTTCACAAAGATTTCCCTTCGATGAGATTTTCTGCTTTTCAACTCATTTTGAATGCAAAATATGTTTAATATGGTATCAATTTATTATAAGCTCTCACAAACTACAAAAGGAACTCAGTATGCATTAAATATGGAAGGTAACATGTCTTAGATGGATCCCTTGTGAATAAACAATAATTATGTTTCATGTTGCTCGAACTCTCTGTACAATGTTTATATTAATATGTCAAAAAGGAAACTTCTCTTAAAGTGATATCATCAAGGGATAAAGATCATTTGTGTTCAATTGTGTGTAAAAAGAGAGGCAAGAAGAATTTAAACTAATCCTGTTCTGATGGATCGTCAGGGCAAAACAAGTACAGGATTTTGCTAGCTACTGTGGAAAAGCAGTACAGAAAATTATGAATGTCATTTCTACAGAGTGCCAAAGGCCATGAAACATGGGAACTGTAAAACTTAGTTCAGTATCATTTCTAATCTTTCAACTGTCATTTGCATTAGGAGCATGCATTCACTAGAATGTGTAGTGCTGGAAATTTGATTTAATAGCATCTCTATTCTAGAAAAAGAAAGAAACTAACACCAATGAAATACCTCTTAAATCTTTCTGACTTCCTACATTTGAGGTCAAACTAACACGATAGTAAGTTTTTGCCGTGTTAAAAGCTGAGTGAATGCTTTCAAGTGACTTGAAATATATTAAAACTATTAAAAATACATTTCCTTTATACAGTAGGAAGAAACAAAGTTCTCTGTTCTCTTAATGTAGTCAGTAATGGGTGTGCATAAATTTGTCCAAATATATACATTTGAGTAACTCAAATAAAGAAAGATAGGTAGTTTACACTTTAAAAATTTATTTTTTGTTTTTTATTATTATAAATTTGCACGTTTAAATTCTAGATTCTGACTTTACGTGAGAAGATAATCATACCTCTCTTCAATCAGTAACCTAACTGTTCTGTTTTTTGCTTTTCTAACTCATGAAATTAAGAGTACAAAGGCCAGTGCTTTTCATCCTTTTACTGTATTACTTTTTTCCATTTTTTTTAAGATGTTGTCTGATGACAGATACAGAATGATCATGTAAAAGGTTAATCAACTTCATTCAAAGACTATACATTTTAGCTGATTTTTAACCCCCCTAATATATTTTATATCGCTAGGTTATTATGAGATTCATAGCTGTGAACATGGACTATGAACAGACTATTTTCTACAGATTTTGTATATTGTATTGTTTTGTTTTGGTTTTGGCAGCTAAGTTATACTCAGTGACTGATTCTGTCTTTGCCAGTAATTTACTTAGCACAGGTTTGCTGTGGGAATTATTAATAATTTCACAAGCCAATAGCATATGTGATGATATTTCTTAATAAGCCAATAAAGAAATAACATATTTCAAACAAATGATAGATTTAATCACATCATTATTCTGAGAAAGGGGAAATAAAGTCCAAATTTAACAAAGGTGTACCTTTTTACACAAGTTCGAGATTTTGGGAAAGATGGCTTGATCAACCACAAGCTGACTTCTAGCTACTAGCATAAAGATGAAAGTCTCTTGCTGCTAGAGCACATTGCTAGGAAAAGAAAAGTTAAAGGTGTTGGTGGACAACCGAAGCTGCTCAGAGGGTTATCATTCCGGGGACCGTTACATGGTTTAGCACCGCTGCCGACCAAATTGTCACCTTGGCCAGGGCAGGAGCAAGTGTCTCAAGATCTTCAGAGAGCTGTTTAGGTCAGCAAAGTATGCCTTGCTCAGAACAAAACTCTTGAATAGTCCTGACAAAATAGTCCTCTGTTTATTGTCTAACTATCCCCTTGCCATAGTTGCTTCTTCACATGTTCTTTTCAGCAAATGGTCTGGTTTGTACTCAAAAACATCAACAGATGACATGATGACATCTTGACATAACTTACTTCATTCTTATATCGAAACAACTTTATTTCTAAGAATGATTTGTCTTTATCATAAACAAGTGAATCAAAATGGCTTCACTTAAGTCATAAACAAGTGGATCTTAAATCCTATTACAATACACCACACAGACCAAATAAAAATACCAGGAATTGAGAATAAATGGGAAAATGTGCTTAAATAGGTTTAAAATTATTTTCTCATGAACTTTTTAAAATTAAGCATGGGTTTAAGAATGTTTTAGAAAAAAATACTAATGCAGATAATATATTATATATATTATATATCAGATATATAATATATATCTAATCAGATATATAATATATATATTATGCAATCCTAAATCTAGAAGGGCTTTGCAGGACCAAAGGTGAAGAGCATTGGAAAGGATTCTTTTGCAGTTAGTAAGTCCAAACTCTAAGGAATCTACCCTAGATGTATCTTATATCATCTATACAGTAGTGGTTCATGAGCACAGTAAACTTTAAACTTATGATATATTGTTAAGTCCACCATTAAGTTATTTATTTGATTAGCTATGTTCAGAAGATTCTTTTAACTGGCATTTCTCTTTTGTTTGAAATTTGAATATTTTAAGGCCCAAAATATTTTTCTTCTTATTGTTAGTTTTACATAGCTCTTGTTTTATATATCTAATGCCTTCCAATTTTTGTTAATTTTAAATAATATACCTTTAATATTTTTACCCTCACCCCAACATGCATCTAAACACATTCACACAGACCTTCATAATTGAAATGTTGAGTTTGAATAGAGATAGCCGTAGAAATGTCATGGCAGCACAATTTACAATAGCCAAGATATGGAAGCAACCCAAGTGCCCATCAACAGACAATTGGATAAAGAAGTAACGGTTCATATACACAATGGAATATTACTCAGCCATAAAAAAATGAAATCATACCATTTGCAATGACATGGATGGACCTAGAGGTTGTTATGCTGAGTGAAATAAGTCAGACAGAGAAAGATAAATACCATATGATTTCATTTATATTCAGAAGGTGAGGAACAAAAGGAACAACCTAATCAAAAACAGGCTTACAAATATAGTGGACAGTTTGGTGATGGATGGAGGGGAGAAGGGTTGGGTGTCTGGGAGAATGGGGTGAAGGGTTAAAGAAGTACAGATTAGTAGCTGATGGCTGGTCACGGGGATGGGGAGCATGGCACAGGGAATGCAGTCAGCATTAATATATTGGCTAGGTAGAGAGCCAGAGGAGAGAAGGAGCAATTAGGAGGATCGTTTTATAAAGTATATAAACGTCTAACCAATGTCCTGTATACTTGAAACTAATTAAAATAAATTAATTTTTAAAAAGTAAAGGAAGACAAACTATTAAAGATTTTACATTATCAAAAATATTTTTTAAAACGTGTTGTTGAGGATGTGGAGAAAAAATAACCCTTGTACAGTTTTAGTGGGAATGTAAATTGAAACAGCACTTCTGGAAAACCATAAAAGTTCCTCAAAAACCTAAAAATAGAACTA